TTTTTATTGTCGACATATTCATGCAAAATAATCTCCGCAGAAACGTGCTACNACGTACACTTTAGTTAAGGTTTTAAGCCTTCCACGTATATGGCAGTTCAACGCATAGGAAGTTGATTTATGACTGCCTGTAAAAACGCCGGCTTTCAGGTTAGATCAAAGTAGTTTCTTTGCTGTGTAGAATTTCTTTATACTGCACGTATGATGGTGCCTAGTTATTATACGTTTAGAAATTTATGGCATGTTTTGAAATGAATTGTTCACGATTTGCATTCTAGTATTAATTATATTAGTAACTAACAATGAAGTGGTGCATTTGGCGTTTTTATTGTCGACATATTCATGCAAAATAATCTCCGCAGAAACGTGCTACTGAAGTGGAAACCTATACGTACTCCACTAACAAAAGTATCGAATTAGTTTGAACAGACAATTCCATGCAGTTTTCATTCGACTCGGTTCGTATTTCCATCAATCATACCGGAAACCGGAAATAATACCGCGTATACCTAAACCATTTTTGTGCAGTTTAACAACGTGGGCAAGTTAGCAAAATCACTGTAAGAAAATATGGTAGATGGGAAAGTTTGTACAATTCCGTAATGAGATTTCGAACGTACTGAACTTTTTTGTGATGGTCGTTTTACTTTTCCCGTCTCGACAAATAGCATCGATTAGGACTTACATACATATATATGTATATACATAAATACATACGTACTTATATACAGCAATTCTCTTTCCACCTCAAATTTTGATAACAATAAAGACCTTACAAATGCCTTTCCGTATTCGATATTAATAAACGGAAGCTACTCCGTTTATGAGTTGCGCAATTTAAATGTATTTCTACAGAATTTGAATTTAAAACAGATGAAATTGTACAGGGTGTTCAAGCAGAAATAGTTTATATGTAAAAATTTGAAACATAGCGTGCTAATATAAATTTTTACAATAACCGAAATGAATCAACATGAAAATTGACGTTTTCATATTACTTATATTATATTGATGATTAAAACGATAATATTTTTTTCATGCTGTTTTGTAAATCTTTGTTCAAAATTTCTAGGTAATATGTTGATATTGATATTGATATTTTGTCACTTTTTTACAAAAGGAATACAAAATAAAGCAAGCAGGAGTATTGTTATACGATGAAAGAAGGCTCTTACGAGCGAATCCCCTGATGCTACAATTTTGTGAATTGAATAACTCGTAAACAAAGTTCTTTCTTTCGTAATATTTGCGCATCATTAGATTTCTCCCAGGGGCCTCGAATTTTATTGGAAATATGGACTTTATTTCGTCGGAAAAAATTGCCCAAAATCAAAAATCAAAACAATTCGTCGGTTCATGTGTGTCATAAGGTTTAAGAACAAAAAGACTAAAATTTGGACAGGTAAAAGTTTTAATGACTCACCTTTTTTCTTAGCCAGGCTAGTGGGTGAATGCAGTGTTGTTTTTACAGTGGTTGGAGCGGGAATTTCTTAAACAATTAATAATACCCGTTAAAGCTGAAAAACTACAGGTTTTTCCAATTATTGGTGAAGTGTATACTTCCTACGAAATTATAAAGTAAATACGCATTAACCGAAAAGTCAAAATCGCGTGAGTCACCCTTTTGATTGGATGACAGATGTCCATAATATAATTATCGATACGGTCCTGTATCCAATAATAACGTTCTCTCTTTGACTTTTTTTGTTCTTCTACGTCATTCAATTAGTCTGATGTAAGAAGTACTCACTTCAGCTGTATACATACAGGTGACATAAGCACAGAACTCACTTTAATCTAGTGTTAATTAATAATAATACGAACTCACCTTCTAATTTAATAACACCATCAGTTTCGCCTAGTGAATTCTTCGCTACACACTTGTAGGAACCAAAGTCGTTAATGTTGACATTTTTAATCTTTAGCATCATGTACTTCTTATAGCCATTTTCCATAACGTTTGCTATGTACTTTTCTCCTGCTAGTCAATCGAAAGGAAAGCTTATAAGTTAAATAAATCGACGGATTTGAATAGAATGTAGAACGGTCTTCTTTTACTCAAGTTGACGTAGAATAGGGGATCATAAAAGGTCAAATCAGGTTAGGTTAGGTTAGGTTGGGCTAGACTTGGGGAAGTTTAAATTAAAATGACGTAGACGATAAGTATGCTGGGTTAGGTTAAGTTTGAGACCGCTTCAGTATTACATACTGCTGGTAGGGGCGAGGGCTTTTGCAAAACGTTATGGAGGGTTATAGCGGGATAGGGGGTAAGAAATCTTCAGAATCTGCAAAACGTATTACTTGAACGGACCCTTTCGATGAAATTTAAATTGTACAGGGTTTGTCCGGAAAGTAATAGGACTGATTTTCTTCCGCCGCGACTGTACTTCGGAGCATGCGCGCACCGACTGGATTCGGTAGAGGGCATTCCTAGCTAACGAACGAGCGGCTGGTGAGTTGTCTCCGAGCACCTGGAGAGTCAGAACAGGCTTTTTCGCGCGACGTGTTTCTGGAAGTTAT